AGCACCAAAGAGTAAAGCCTTTTCCAAATGCAGGGACAGTTCAAAGACACCATGTAGGAGAAAAAGAACTAATGCCTGCCAGCTACTAAATGAAGACTTTAAAGAGACCAGAAGGAAGTGAGCACAGCTGAGCAGTACGTTAAGAGGAGCTATTAGAAATAAGGAACTGTTCTTCAAAGAGCTGAAGTTGCATCCAAATGTGAAAAATAAAAAGAACCAAACTCTAGCAAACAAAGTAAAAACTGCAGTAAAGGCAGCTCGCCCTCACCCCCTTTCAGGAAAAAAAATAAAATAAAAAAGAGCAAATCACACAAGTTACAGAACCTGACACTTGTCCTTTGTCCAAAAGAGCGGGGACAGAAAGCACAGCAGACAGCATGTAGGCCAACAGATGATCAAGGAACGACGAGAGAGCATCAGTGAGTTTTTTTTAAACATGTGTTCATTATGGAGGAGCTTGGGGAGGCTCCCATGCTAGAACCTTTCTTTATGGGTAATGCGACAAAATATCTACCTCGAAGTGAAATGTCAGGAGACTAAGGGGTCAAAAAAGGGGTAACAAAACACTGGGACCAGATGGTAGTCATCCAAGAGATCTAAAGCTGAACCACAGTGCAAAAACTCACCTAATATCGCCTCAATATGAAAGAAATGGAACATATCAAATACAATGCCACCTTTAAAAAGATGCTTCAGAGGAGGTCTGGGGAACTACAGGTCAACCAGTCAGACATTTATATGGTTAGAAATTTTAAGCAGTAGAAACTATAATACAGAAAACAACCAGCAGGCACTCGGACAAACATTATATATTTTACCAGAGCAGACAACACAGCTTTCTGTACAGGTAAATTACGATGACAAAACCTTCACAACATTTCTGAGGTGACAATTATGTGAACAAGCAAAGCTTGGTTGATGTTGGATACCTTTACATAAGAGGGTTAGACTCATTACATGGTGCCTCAAAGACAGTTCTAAAAAAACCCACAGGCCTTTACACAGTCATTGATTAAAAGTTATTAAAACACTGACCAGAATGAACGGTTGGTTTCCAGAGCACAAGAAAGTCACTGGTGGATCCCTGCTCAGACCATACTGTTCAACATACTGATAAGTGATTTGGAAAAAGGGAGCAAGTAGCTTTTACAAAAGTACTCAAACTTGTAGAGAAAAATGCAACGTTAAAAATTCTTAGAAACTGAAGGGAAAAAGCCTCTCCTGTTATTAAGGCACAGAACAAATTCACGGTGAGATTACATGTTAAATGCTGTACATGCCTTTGCTGTTCATTTTGGGAATGATACAGGGGAACTAGCAGATAAATAGAATAGAAACAAGCATAGCCATAGGTATGGCAAGGCTGTGACAGGGGAACAAGAAGACTGACCAGATTTTTCTGAGGCGAGAAAAAAGCAGACTGAAATGAAGTTATGGCCAAGATGTATAAAACAAGGAATGACATAGAAATGATGAATAAGGAATGATGGTTCATTGTGTCTTCCAACACAAGAGACTACGGGATATCAAGTCAAACCAGGAGGCTGTTAAGTTCCATGAGTTCAAAACAGAGGTCCTTCCTCACACAAGGTGCTGCGAAGCTGCAGAACTGCCTGCAACAGGTTACTACGTACACAGAAAATTATATGGGTTCAAGAAGCAACTGGACAAATTTGTCTAAAAGAAAACCAAACAAAACCAACAAATTCACTGAAAATTAATAAACAGAGAAGCATTGCCCCTGGTTGAGAGACTGTATATCGAAAAAAAGTACTCAGACCTATGGCTATTTGCTTGCTTATTTCTTCTGCTCCTCACTAGGTACCTGTTGCTGCCCATCTGTCTAATAGGATAAAGGACTGGAAGAACCTTCAGTCAGTGACAACATGGATTTTCTCAGCTATCCAAGCATCATAAGGAAAAAATACTTGGGCTTTGTTTGCAATTAATAGATAGGTTTCTCACTGAATATGTATTAACTTTCAAGATGATATCTAAAGCTTTTTATTATTTTTAAAGGCTCTGCAGCAGTTGAGCCGTTTTGGATACCTGATCTCGTTTACCACCCTCTCTGTCTTGAACCACACTTGTCCTTCATTTCCAGTCACTGCCTATCTACATGCTAGCCATTGCAGATTTGTTTGAGACCTCCTGCTTTAGCACCATGGTGCTGAACAGCCTAAGAGAGGCCAGAGGTCTCAAGATCTGCAGCTTTTAATTAAGAGGTTACTCTCTCTTCTTCCAATATGCTATGACTTAGTAATGAAAAACATGTACAAGTTAGGTCTATGCCTAGCAACTGTGCTTGTGTTTTTATACTTGATCTTTTCCAAAAAGATATTTATTAACTCCTTCCAAATGGAAAAAAAATATTTAGGTTTTTATTAGACGACTTTTTGACAACTCAAAGGAATGCTGTTTTTAACAGACCTTCTAGTGAGCAAGGATATTGTGCTCATTTACTGCATCTTCTAGCTTCAATTTCAGATTCTCAATGCTTGTCCTTGCAATTTAAATTGCCTATCTCAGACTTCCATTGCTCCATTTTCACTGTACCCAGATGATTATCTATTGAACATTTCTAGAAAGCTGAATTATAGTTGCACAGTTGCCACTGTTATCACCCTTAAAATTATGTTTTTATATTCTCTTGTAATACAGCTTTCAAGGCATTTGCTGTACACTGATGATATCAACCAACAGCAGGAGCTTTGAGTAGACTTACTAGTTCTATCTTCCCCCAAACTAAACTTCACAAACAAAAACACCCCAAACCAAACACTATATGCCTACAGACCCTTTTTTCCAACACACACACACACACACACACACACAAATGCAAAACTTGCACAATGCAATGTTTAATTTCACAGAACAAAATTTAACCTGTCTATTAAGATCCTGAATAGGTTCCTACCTGCATTGTCTGTTAAGTTCTAACATCAAAATTGCAGTAAGTTAAAGTTAAGCTAAGGAACTACACATCCATTTCCTAATACTGGCACTTTGCTTATATTCCATATCCTAACAATTCAGTGAAAAGTACCTATGAGCTAAAACTGTGTAAAAGAAAAAAAGAAGTCTTGAATAGATTTCAATTTTTATCACTTGCAAGAAAACCTCTAATAAAGCCCAAATACAAAGAGAAACTGAAGATGTCATAGTCCTGATTTTACATATTTTTTTCTTCCAGGTTGCACTGTAATACATGGCTCCCACAGATGTTAGCAATAAAGTCCCAACCTCAACCATCACAGAATGCAAGGGAATTCACACATGCATAAAGCCCTAATGAAGTTAAGGGGACTCGTGTGTAAGGAGGTGGAACTATAACGACCACCAGAGAGAAACCTTTGCATGCATCTTTGCCAAGAATATTTTACTAGATGTATTCCCACTTCCTTTGATTCCCATTCATTCAGCTTGCACCTAGAGAGGCAAGTACTCTGAAGAACCTGACAACTGAGTAAGGTTTCCTCTTGGTTTTGAGAAAGCTACCTTTAGCTAGAATCACATGAATGAATCTATTTGTATAACAGATCTACAGTTACTTGTCATATTAAAAGTGTGAAATTTTGATCTGTGTTTTCTACACTGATGCAACTAATGGAAGGATTAATTAATAGGGGTTTGGTATGAGGTCATACACTTGATTATAATTTGAAAGGGAATTACAAAATGAGATTTTCCCAAATACATACTATGATCTCCAGCTGTATGGATTCTCATTCAAAGACCTTCCCCTATTTTAGTAAGTCTCTTAAGAAGTAATTTACAAAACTTGCAGTCCTATTAACTGTTCTATAGTGAACTACTTCTTTTGCCCAACCTGGCAGAATAAAGGTGGAGGTGAATTCTACTGTTAAGGACTTACCATAGGTTGCAAATGTTCTTCTTTGTTGTTCAAACATGAAATCATTGATGTGCGCTGGTTCTGCATATCCAGAAAGCATATTTCTAGGTGCAGCCATTTGCTGAGTCCTAAATGGGTTTTCTGGTCCAAACTACATCAACAATGTTAAAAGAAAGTATATCAGAATTACTAATTTCTTATTTATATGTGTGTACTTCCCAGAAAAAAAAACACTACAGGAAAAAAAATCTTTCAAAGATTGTAATGCAATCACTTCAACTTTCTATTTCTTTATGTCTACTGAATAAGCTTCACTGTATAAAATAACAGACTAAGATCACTTACTCAGTTGCTTTGAGCTTTCTAGCCTGTATTACTGGTACAGAAGACAAATCAATATCAATATCAACTACTTCACACAAAACACTGCCATTCGGTATATCATCAGTACAGACATCCAGAAGACAAAACCACAGCATATCTTGTCCCTTGTATGGGACAAGATATCAAGAAAGAGATACCAGGTCTTACTAAGCTCTTGTATTTAATATTGAAATTACACTGCCAGCAATACTTTTGTGCACTTAAAAAGCAATTGAGGACTTGCTGTATTATTCCCAGAAATACACTTATGAAACTCTGCCTTGCTTTTCTTCTTGCAAGATGACAAAAGCCAGTCTTCAGGGCCATACTGTGGCTAGAGAAAAGAACGGTGAATGCAAATAAATGCAATACACTGAGACCAATGTCAAACTCAATTTAATTGTAACTCCTATGCTCATCAGCCATACTTGCAGACACCTAAGACTCTCCCACATCAGGCTTCCCCAACTACAACAATTATACAAGGTAACACTGTAGTAAATTTAAATCAGTAGTTTTGCTCACACATTTCATGGCTTCGGTACGCTGCAAAATGCAAGCTTGCTATGAAAAAAAACAATTTATGTGGTTCCACAAAGCGTTTTCTAAACATAAAGCATAACTACTGTAGAAACTTCCGACTGATGCAGCCTTTGTCTACCTGGAACACTAATCCCTGGTCTAACAGCAGACAAACTGCACAAAGAAGTTAAATAATGAAAAAAGTTAAATGCTTGAACAGCTATTTTTCTCTTTCAGATAGCCTGTCAGTTATAATAAAATAGAAAGTAGTTCACATGGCACCAGGCAGTCTAAATTCAGGCTGAAGTAGTTTTTTGCTATAGACATTTAGCATAGCTTAAGTTACTAAAATACTTAACACTGATGTGAGCAGTTATGCTGAAAGTACTTGGATTTTAATTTTAAATCCTAGTTCTAAAAGCCATATATCTGCAAGACTTACAACCGTTCATTGTGCTCTAAGTAGCACGATAAGCTGGTTTCCAGTTTCACAGGCTGGATCCATGGGCCAAGGCCAACTGTATGAGGTTCAGCAAGGCCAAGTGCCAAGTCCTGTACTTGGGTCACCACAACCCCATGCCACGCTACAGGCTTGGAGAAGAAAAAGCTGCATGGCAGAAAGGGCTATGGGGGTGTCATCAACAGACGACTGAACATGAGCCAGCAGTGTGCCCAGATGGCCATGAAAGCCAACAGCATCCTGGCCTGCATCAGGAATAGCATAGCCAGCAGGACTAGAGAAGTGATTGTCCAAATGTACTCGCTCTTGAGTACTGTGTTCCATTTTGGGCACTGCAGTACAAGAAAGACATTGAGATGCTGGAGAGGGACCAAAGAAAGGCTATAAACCTGGTGAACAGTCTTGAGAATAAGTCCTATGAGGAGAGGCTGAAGCACCTAGGGTTGTCTTACAGAGGCTGAGGGGAGACCTTCTTGCTCTCTACAACTACCTGAAAGGAGGTTGTAGAGAGGTGGGTGTGGGTCTCTCCTCACAAGTTACAGCTGATAGGAGAAGAGGAAATGGCCTTAAGTTACACCAGGTGGTTTATGTTAGACATTAGGAAAAACTTCTACACTAAAAGGGTTATCAAAGACTGGAACACACTGCCCAGGGAAGCGGTGGAATCACCATCCTTGGATGTATTTAAAAGTCATCTAGATATGGTGCGCAGGGACATATTTTAGAAGTGAGCATGGTAGAGTTAGTTAATGGTTGGACTTGGTGATCTTGAAGGTCTTTTCCAACCATAACAAATCTACGATTCTACGACTAAATAGCAAAAATGTGAAAATATTAAGAGACTACTTTAATGCAGTTCATGTTTTACTCAGCATCTTCATAATGCTATTTCCCTAGCTTGGTTTTTAGTTTCCTTAGCTATAATTCTGATAAACACTTTAAGATCCCTCTTAGAACAGTTTTATTCAGAATATTAAAATTCAAGCACTAAAAATACCAACACACTTGAGTAGAATCTTTTTTCAGTTTCCCAAACTAGACTCAAAATACAGCAAGCATCCAAAGAAGATGTATCTTGTAAGAGTTTCACATGAGATTTATAGAACCTCTACCCTTTAAGCCCTTCTACTCTAAAGATCAATATTGTCTCTTACCTCAGGTGCAAACATGGTATCATAAGTGGGATTGTACTGAACTTCCTTGATAGCAGGATCAAGGTGGACTCCAGTTTCCACATCTTCCTAAAATAAAACAGACATATTAATAAATCATTTTTCACCTACAGACTTCTAAATATATGGCATTACCCCATTTCAGACCAAATTAGGGCTGCAGTTCAAGCTGACACTTTTAGCACTATGGAAGAAAACAAGTAGCTAAGCCAAAGTTTCTATTAAAAAAAAAAGATTGCAAAAGGAATGTCAGGCCCTCACTGCGAAATTGTCTAGGATACATGCAGAATTTTGCTTGTACATCAATTTTTTTTTTAAGAATTTAAAAACAGTAGCAAGATTGGAAGCAAGCTTTTTTGTTTTTGAGGGTGCTTGAAAAAGACCTTGTAAAGAAAAGCCAATTGAAACGGTCAACAAATTAATAAAATACTGCAAAAACTAGACTTCTACAAAAGGCAGAAGGTAGAAGTCACAAGTAAATGTTTTGAAAGACAGCTGGGAAAAAAATATCAGCTATCTGAGCAAACATATATATAACAATAACAATGAGCTTCAGAGGCTCCAGCAATCCCTTATCTCCAAGCTTTTACCAAAAGGTATAAACGTAATTCAGCTTCAGTATTTAAACACATTTCCAAGCCTGTTCTGACAAAAATTTAACTTGATAGATGAAGGGACAAGAAAGACAGCCTAACCAAAAGAATAACTTCTCAAGCAACTCAAAGGGAAAAAACTCAGAAAGGCATATGTGGCTGAACTAGAAGACAGAAAATGGAGAAGAAGGTGGCTGATATGGGGCCGGTGCTCAAAAAGACCTGGTTTCACAGAGCTCTACAAAGGTTCATTTACACTGCTCCTAAATAGACACTACCTTCCCCCTGCCCCCCACCCCCCAATTAAAGTCTCAGCTAATAAAGGAGAATGTTATTTGGCGGTATTATTACCGGCATTGCTTCCTGCATCCTTATTCTAGAATAAATGCATTTGAAAGGGATTTACAATGTGCTAGTATATTGATAATATCCCTAGTAATTATACTGAAAAAGCTATCTTAGCATCAGTGTTTAATCAGTGCTTACAGGATCCAAAATCATTTGCAGCTCACAGAAGGAAGTGGCACAATAAAGGATCAAATTTTATCAGTCATTGCTTTAATAAAAAATTACCTTGAAGAAACTCAATCTTGCTTTACATTATAGTGTCTACAAAGATAAAAACGGCATGTTCTTCACTTACTTAACATCGTAGCTATTCTCTGACATTCCATGCCAAGAAGCCTTTTTTCTCCACAATTCAACAGAAGGTCAATCGCAAACAAATTTGCTTAGACTTGAGACTAAGACTTGAAAGATTTTAAAACCTGGTTTTCTAGAATACAGAAAAGAAAAATAGTACCTAAAAATCTTTGGCTTGTTACCTGATTATATTTGGTTAAAACTGCTCCAAAAAAGAAAAAAAGGAATAAAGAAAAAAGTGTAGGTGTGGGTTTTTGTGTCTTTTTTGGTTTTGTTTTAAGAGAATGACACCAGCAATCCCATCAATCATTTTTCTACTAAGAACACTGTCTTAGTAGAATTGCCAAGTCCAACTAGAAAACTTTACTCTCACTACGTATCAATTATTTTACCAGGCAGGTCCAGCCATTGCACTGCTCTTGCCCGAGTCCTTAGCGCTGCCAATTCTCAGCCTGACCCCCTTTCTCTCATCACACGACCTTTCCAATCCACGGGGCTTGAACGACAACGGCTCCCGGTACATTCACAGCCCTGACTTTCATACACTGTGAACTTGCCGGGGAACAGCACAGCAGGCCTAATCCAGCCATTCAGCAACAAAAACAGACTCCCTCCCCATTCCCAGCTATAATAAGAGCATATCAAAACCATTTCCTAACCTGTGTTACCTACACACTGATATTGCCTTTCACAGCTCCACGACCTGAGGACATTTTCCATAGACAGCTTTTTCAAGTCACAACATACAGCATGCTCTGCCAGCTAGACTTCACATTTATCTACCAATCTTATAGTTGGAGAAAATAAAAATTAGTATCATTGATAATACGGCTTGAAATACTGAATTTCCTGCTCTTGGAAGAGGTGAGAAAAATCCAGCTTTGCAAAAATGCCAAGAATTTTTCAGTTCTGCAATTTTTCCTCCTCTTTTCTCCCTGTAAAGTCCTATTCTATGCCCCTCAGTAACTGAGAAAAGAAACAGATTGTGTCATGAAAGCTGATCCTTTGCTGGACGATTATAGCAATTCTGGTTCTACTTCGCTGCTGATGGAACAGTGCTGAGTCACTTGGAAGCCACACAATCTGCTCACTCCTAGACCACCACAGGCAGAGTTTTTCTGTGTGAAAACCACCCAGCCTTGAAATTGAAGCACATGTTATATTTATCAGAGCTACACTCCAAGACCGCCAGCCTTACTCACGCTTTCATATATCTGGGCATCAAACAATGATCTGTTAATATGTCACTGAAGCACGTAACGGTTATCTTTTCACTATGCCATTTGACTTTAAACTATTTAATAATTTGAACATGTCCCAACTCCCTACTTCACCTTCTCAGTATTTCAAAGAATCAAAATTCCGATAGGAAAATAAAGTATTGAGACAACATACTTTGAAATGTTAGACTATGGCAAGAGTTCGAATTGCAGCACCCAAATTATCCTTTGCCCAACATCCCATAAATGCCATTTTCTACAGCATTATGAGACTGGAAGGTAGCGGAAACATTAAAAATATTAACCTAGTCCATCAATCAATTCACAAACTGGCAAACTATCTGCATTGGGGTGCAGGGGGTTTTGGTGTTCTTTTTCGTTTGCTTTAATTTTTTTTTTAATGAGCGGAAAACACTCATCAGCAAACTCTGCACATGGTGAAGATTACTGGGTACAAGTCCACACACCACCAGAAGACCGTCTTAGCAGAATTCATCTTTCTAAGACTCAGAAAGCAACAAAAAGTAAACATACAGGTCTTAAGACTGTCCCCTTATGCTGGCAACAGCTGACAGAACTTAGCTGCATGCATTCTAGATGCATTTGCCATGGCTACAGCAAACAGAGAAGGGATCACAAGAGCAGCAGTCTGGCAGAGCCATGACTGAGATAAGCTAATCAAAGGGATCACGTCCCTCTGCTGTGCTGTAGTTTTTTCCTTTGGTCATACACACCATATCTTGATCTATCTAAAAGCAATTCAACATGCAGCTTATGTCTCAAGTGCTACACAAGTGGCTCTGTGGGATGGAGGACTACCCGGGCTAAAAGAGGAGGGAATCTGTGAATTCAGTGATGGGCTAAGGATTACTCTATGTCACTTCCCATTCAGAAAGGCACAGGAAACATAAAAAGGCAGGTCAAGACACTGTCAGTTTAAACAGATACAGCATTCCTCTGAAGAGAGCTAGGAGTTCAGATGTAGGACTGGCAGAGAAACAGCTTGCATCTGCTGCAACTTGGAAATTGTGTAAGTATGGACTTTATAGCAAGCCGCAACGTCATTAAAGGCAGTACACTCCATACAACCTGGAAAGGAAGAATAATGGTTTTAGGAAGTTAAGTTTTACTGAATATGGCTTTCTTGGAAGACATAATGCAAAAGAGTTGCAAACTTCAGCTCTACATGTCACTTCTGCTTTTCTCAGTGCTGGTACCAAGAGCCCAACTAAAACCCAGTGGCCACACTGGGCACCATGTATCAGGTAAGACACATGCTATTGAAAAGGGTCCAAATGAGAAAATCAGTGATCAAAAGTCTAAGAAAATATGACCTGTATAAAAAAGCTGAACAACCTAATACAGCCTAAAAGATTCAGGTTATACAACTTAGCAGCAATACAGACAGTCAAACATTGAAATCGCACAGTCTGCAGATCTACTGAAGTTTGGCAGACAGGTTAAATGAGTGTCTATCCAGACAGACACAAGTATCACTCTTGATGCAAGGCAAAAAAGGAAGCGGATGATGTCTTACCACTGAAATACTTGGTGTGTTGGTTGGGTTTGTCTGTTGTTTTTTTTTTTTAAATAGATGTGATTTCTACTTACTTGCAGTATCAGGTCGATTTACAGTTCAGATACGATTTGAATAGGAAAAAAAAATCTTTAATACTTAAATGCTCTCCTTTTGCCTCTTCTGTGTTGCTTTCTATCCCACAACACAGCATTACACTATCATAGGGGAACGGCACTCAGGGCTGTACTCTGGAGTATTAGCATTTCCCAAGGAACCTACCTTCAGATAGAAAGAAGCTTTCGATGCTAAGTGTAGAGAAGCAGGTACTTCATTATAACTCTCTAGAGATCACAGAAAGTCTAGCTCCTACCGAGGTGTCCTCCTTTAGTCCTACCACACAGGCCCTTTTGCCAGTTAAAAGTCAGCATAAGAAAGAGCACAGGAAGAGATTTTAGACTATAAATACAGTAAATCACATTAGCTTTCCTTCTTACAGATTCCTTAAATATAAGATAAAACCATCTTTAATTTAAACACAGGCCAAATCCCTGTAATAGGCGCCAAAGCAAAACCTTAAATAAAAGAAACAAGCTGCAGTGTGGATTGCAGTGCTGGATGCTGATTCTGTTCCTTAGGAAGAATGTAATGTTGTTTATGTTAAGGCAACTCACAGTCCTTTTAATCCACAACTTTTTAAAAATTTCAGCCAAATTCTGTAGTCTCCACTCTGCTAATATGCAGCTACCTGTAAGTGCAACGAGTGCCATTTATGCATTTTGAAGCAGAATTTGACACTTAAATCTCAACTGTTTGTCTAAATACGAAGTTTGTTAGAACAAAGCAAAGGTCAAAGTTTTCCAGTTCCATATCATGCAAGCAAAGGGTTGTGATGTTTATATGGTTATGTTTGGTTGGTTGATTTTTTTTCTGGACATTTTAGATCATAAACCTACAATGTTCCCTTCTCCCCAGGTAAATTCATTACTAATCAGCCAAATAGCTAAGAAGGGTAGCCTGCTTTGCACAAGATTTAATTAGTTTTAATTATCCATTAAATTAAAATGTGGTAAATTAAGACCCCATCCCACGAGCCACAGAGGCTTAAGCAATTTGTCACCTACCCATTCTTGCATAAACCACTTGGGCTGTCAAATACACAGTACTATCTCATTCCAATGATTTTCAGATTTATTATCAAGAGATTAATGGCATTTACAGTGAAGTCCCAACATTAAGACTTGGTTGTTACCAGCTTTTAGTCATGCTACCCATTCATATGCTCTTAACAGTAAACATCCTCTCCACTAATTTCAATAGAATAAAAATAAATCAGAAAGAAAGTCCTATGTTTAATGGTTTCATTGAACTAGGCTAGATTCCCAACACCTTGCAGGATGACAAGTTCTAAACATCTATTCTCTACAAGAGACTGTGTCAAAGAAAGCAGGAAAACCCACCATAGTAAAGGAAGCCAAAACATTACTAATAAATGACACCTCCCACGTCACTAATATTCATCATTGCTACACACTGACTTTGTATCTTTCCATAGCTGGGGAGGGATTAGGTTTTAAATAACATGAAGAAATGTGACTGAAGCCTACTTCATCCCCTGAAGTAGTATTTTTCTGGACACCTGAATTGTTCCAAAGGTAAACTAGATCCAACAGAAAAAATGAGCTGAGACTTCCAACCTCTTCCCACATTAAAGACAGCTCAAACCCTCCAACTCCTCTACCTCGCCAGGCCAGCCTAGTTGATTTCACAGAATCACAGAATAGTAGGGATTGGAAGGGACCTCGAAAGATCATCCAGTTCAACCCACCTGCCAGAGCAGGATCACCTAGACTAGGTCACACAGGAACATGTCCAGGCGGGTTTTGAATGTCTCCAGAGGAGGAGACTCCACAACCTCTCTGGACAGCCTAGTCCAGTGCTCTGTCACCCTCACAGTGAAAAAGTTTTTCCTTATGTTCACAAGGAACCTCCTATGCTCCAGCTTGCTCCCATTGCCCCTTGTCCTATCACTGGACATCACTGAGAAGAGCCTGGCTCCGTCCTCCTAACACTCACCCTTTAAAAATTTATAGGCATTAATGAGGTCACCCCTCAGTCTCCTCTTCTCCAAGCTAAAGAGACCCAGCTCCCTCAGCTGCTCCTCATAAGGGAGCTTCACTCCCTTCATCATCTTTGTGGCTCTGCAGTGGACTCTTTCAAGCAATTCCCTGTCCTTCTTGAACTCAGGGGCCCAGAACTGAACACAATATTCCAGATGCGGTCTCACCAGGGTAGAGTGGAGGGGAAGGAGAACCTCTCTCAACCTACTCACCACACCCCTTCTGATACACCCCAGGATGCCTTGGCCTTCTTGGCCATGAGGCACATTGCTGGCTCATGGTCAACCTGCTGTCTATGAGGACCCCCAGGTCCCTTTCACCTGTGCTGCTCCTCAGCAGGTCAGACCCCAGTCTCACAGAATCACAGAACGTTAGGGATTGGAAGGGACCTCAAAAGATCATCCAGTCCAATCCCCCTGCCGGAGCAGGAACACCTAGATGAGGTTGCACAGGAAGGCGTCCAGGCGGGTTTTGAATGTCTCCAGAGAAGGAGACTCCACAACCTCTCTGGGCAGCCTGGTCCAGTGCTCTGTCACCCTCACTGAGAAGAAGTTTCTTCTCAAATTTAAGTGGAACCTCCTGTGTTCCAGCTTGTGCCCATTACCTCTTGTCCTATCATTGTTTGTCACCGAGAAGAGCCTGGCTCCATCCTCGTGACACTCACCCTTTAAATATTTATAAACATGAATGAGGTCTCCCCTCAGTCTCCTCTTCTGCAAACTAAAGAGACCCAGCTCCCTCAGCCTTTCCGCATAAGGGAGATGCTCCACTCCCTTGATCATCTTTGTAGCCCTACGCTGGACTCTCTCCAGCAGTTCCCTGTCCTTCTTGAACTCAGGGGCCCAGAACTGGACGCAATATTCCAGTCTATGAGGTTGTTCTTCCCCAGACGCAAGACTCTACACTTGCCCTTGAATTTCTTTAAATTTTTCCCTGCCTAGGTCTCACTGAATGGCAGCACATCCTTCCAGCATGTCAGCCACTTCTCCCAGTTTTGTGTTGTCAGCAAACTTGCTGACAGTGCACTCTGTTCCCTTGGCCAGGTCGTTGATTAATATATTGAATAGTACTGGTCCCAGTACCGACCCCTGGGGGACCACACTAGATACATGTCTCCAACTGGACTCTGTCCCATTGACCACAACTCTGACTTCTTCCCTTCAACCAGTTCACAATTCAACTCACTACCCAATCATCCAGACCACACTTCCTCAGTTTAGCTGCGAGGATGCTGTGGGAGACTGTGTCAAAGGCTTTACTGAAGTCAAGGTAGACCACATCCACCACTCTGCCATCATCCATCCACCTCGTTATATCCTCGTAAAAGGCTATGAGATTGGTCAAGCACGACTTCCCCTTGGTGAAGCCATGTTGACTGCCCCTAATGACCCTCTTATCCTTGATATGCCTTGAGATGGCACCAAGGATAAGCATCACCTTTCCAGGGATGGAGGTGAGGCTGACCGGTCTGTAGTTACCCGGGTCCTCCTTCTTGCTCTTTTTGAAGACTGGAGTGACATTTGCTTTCCTCCAGTCCTCAGGCACCTCTCCCGTTTCCCTGCAACTTACCAAAGATGATGGAGAATGGTCTAGCAATGACTCCCACCAGCACCTCAGCGCCCACAGGTACATCCCATCAGGGCCCATGGATTTATGGATGTCCAGATTGCTTAATCGTTCCCTAACTCAGTCCTCAACAACCAAGGTTAACTCCTCCTTTATCCCAACTTCCTCTGGGGCCTCAGGGTGCTGGGACTCCTAAGGACAGTCTCAGCAGTATAGACAGACAAAGAAGGTATTCAGTAACTTCACCCTCTCAGTATCCTCTGTCACCAGGGCACCCACCTCATTCAGCAGTGAGACTACATTGCCTCTAGCATTAGTTTTGTCTGCAATGTATTTGAAGAAGCCCTTTCTGTTGTCCCTCACCTCCCTTGCAAGGTTTAATTCAAAGGAGGCCTTAGCTTTCCTAGTTGCCTCCCTACATCCTCTGACAACAGTCTAATATTCCTCCCAAGTGGCCGTCCGCTCCTTCCATGATGTATAGACTCTCTTCTTCCACTTGAGTTTGCCCAGCAGTTCCCTGTTTAACCATGTGGGTCTCCTGGTTCCCCTTCTTGATTTCCTACCCATTGGGATGCTCTGATCTTGACCTTGGAAGAAGTGGTCCTTGAATAGAAACCAACTGTCTTGGGCACCTTTACCTCCTAGTACCGTGTCCCATGGAACTTCTCCTAGCAACTGCTTGAAAAGGCCCAAGTTGGCCCTGCTGATGTCCAGGGTTGTGATCCTGCTTGGTATTCTGTTTCTACCGCACAAGATGCTGAACTCCACCATCTCATGGTTGCTGCAGCCAAGGCTGCCCTCAACCTTCACCACTTCAAACAGACCCTCCTTGTTAGTGAGTGTAAGATCCAGCAGTGCTCCTCTCCTAGTTGGCTCATCCACCATTTGCATCAAGAAGTTATCATTGATGCACTGGAGGAACCTGCTGGACTGTGAATGGCTGGCTGCGTAGGCCTTCCAGCAAATATCTGGGTAGTTAAAATCTCTCATGAGACCCAGGGCCTGTGTTTGCAAGGCTGCTATCAGCTGCCTGTAGAAGGTCTCATCAACTTCCTCAGCCTGATCAGGTGGCCCATAATAGGCACCCACAACAGTATCGCCCATGCTAGTCTGTCCCTTAGTTCTCACCCACAAACTCTCAACTCACTCTTCATCCAACCCTGGACAGACCTCAATACATTCTAGTTGCTCTCTCACATAAAGGGCAACTCCACCACCTCACCTTGTTGGCCTGTCTTTCCTAAAAAGGACCCAGCCATCCATGACCACATTCCAATCATGTGAGCTGTCCCACCATGTCTCTGTAATTGCCACCAGATTATAACCCCTTGTCTGCACACAGACCTCTAACTCCTCCTGTTCATTCCCCATGCTGCGTGCATTGGTGTACAGGCATTTCAGGGAGTGATTTTACCCTAGGGGGGTGGGAGGCCGCCTGGTCTTCACTAATACCAGAACACTGCCCTAGTGGTGCAAACCCAGCAACAACCCCATACTCCTCTGAATCTAGTTTAAAGCTCTATGAATGAGCTCTGCTACTTCTTGTCCTAAACCCCTTCCTGCCCCAGAAGATAAGCCTTTCCTATGTATTACCATCAGGCCTGGTGTCTCATAAAACCAGCCATGATCAAAGAACCCAAAGCCCTGTCTGTAGCACCAGTCTCAGAGCCAGGTATTTACGGACTGGATCCTTCTATTCCAACCCATGTCATCATCCACAACTGGAAGGAGGGAAGAGAAAATAACTTGTGCCCCAAACTCATTCACCAACTGTCCCAAGGCCTTGAAGCCTCTCTTTATTTCCCTCAGACTACGAGATGCAGTTTCCTCCACACCTGTCTGGAAAATGCGTAGTGGGTAATAGTCTGATGGCCACATCAGGTTGGGGAGTATTCTAGTTGTATCTCTGATTTGGGCTCCAGGAACACTACAGACCTCTCTATGAAGAGGGTCAACCTGGCATATAGGGCCCTCTGTTCCCTTCAGGAGTGATTTCAACACAGTTGAGTATCCTCTCCTTAAACCCAGTGAATGAGGCAGTGTAGATAAATATCATAAAATCTGCTCCTATCCAAGCCTCACCCTGAGCTGACTGAGACCAAACAGTAAACGCTCTCACCAAACAGTAAACGCTCATTGCAGCTTGTAGCTTGTAGCTGCAATGTTTCCTGTGAAACTGATTTCTTCACAAAATGTGCACTTTCCTGAATAACTTTAAAACTTTTTTAGTTTACTAGTGAAGGTAAATACTTGGTGAGCAATCTTATGGTGATTTGTTCGTATCAGTACAAGCTGTAGGAAACAGAATTGTAATTGGTTTAGGAAATGTCTGCAAAATGTAACTTAGAAAGAATCCTAAACCAAGAGGTTTAGAGTGTAAAAATGAAATAGCTGTGTTGTAGGAGTTGTAACATATGCTGGCCTCTACTTTCAGATTAAAGCCAGGATTATTAAAATACTGAACAAACATTCATAATGCACTGATGTTAAGAACCAGCTGAATGAGCATCTGTATTAGACTTGTTCAGTTTAGGTTCTTAATTAGTCTAATTCACTTCACACATAAAAGTCATCACTAACACACACACCTACCTTAGCCAGTTTCCGGATTGCCAACAGCAAAGGAGCTCTAGATCAGGCTTCCGTTACCTAAACATACTCTGGGTTTCTTCTCACTGCGTTAACTGTACTTAATCAGTTTACAAAACTGCTTTAAGAGCGTAAGAGATGAAGAGCCTGCCCAGCCCAGTATCATGGGCACTGCCATGTGGAGAAGTAGATCTCTATGGCAAATTCATACCCGAGTGCCTCAAGTTCTCATGGGTTCATAACTCACAATAATCAGAGTCAACACAACTGTCCTGGAGCTATCCATCCTGCAGCAAGATGCTCTATAAAGTAGAAAGGCCTAAGGCCTTACTTCAGGCAGGCTTTATTTCTCCTTTAAGTGGGCTGGAGCAAAAGACAAGGAGAGCCTCTGCCTGAGCAAGGTCTGACTAAGTAGCAGAAAGCATGTGCGCTCCTGTACGGGAGGGAGCAAGTGAGATAAGCCCCTTTCTCTGGAAGCCACATGTGTGGCTCATAAGAGATGTCACAGAGGCAAAAAGGTTGTACCTACTACCGATTTTAACTGCCTTAAATCTCGGCACAAAGCTAATTAAGGCAAAAAACATCCATAGAAAACCAGTACCAAAACCACAATGGTATATGCTTAGCCAGTGTAGTTACTACAAAGTCGGATGGGACAGGTGAGCTACACTTTGCAAAGATCTGCTTCTGCCACAAGTGGAAGAACCTACCATATCTTAGAGGGAAAATAGTTACTAGTTTCTCCATACAGAAAATACAACTACCAGCCGAAAGCTGAGAAGTGCCGCATCGATGTCAACAAATCAATTAATCTGTACAAATCGTTGCAGCAGTCACAGGACTTGACTCTTCTCTGAATGAAAGTCCCCCCTCATGATGGAAGGGACAAGTAGAAGCACTGAACCTCCACTCTCATGGTGCAAGTGCTGAGGACACCATAAAACTATTCTGTATGTCCCAGCCCTTGCAATGACCACAGCTGGAGGGAAGACATTTCCTAGGCCTGGCTGTTGGCAAGTGGTCTCCCTTCCCTTTGTGGAACAGCCTCTATCCACATGCTTGCCTGCTACCTGATGATGTATTTGGAGTAAGAAAATATCTTGATTAATCTATCTACTCTCCCTACAAAAGAAAACATCAGCCTCACTATAACTTGATGCCCAGGGGAGAGTAAGAACAGGGCAAGTGAACATGATACTACTTCTGCAATCTCCCAGCAGCCAACTATTTTCAGGTCAGGAGAGACTGTGAGCTTGAAAAAAATCTGTGTATTTACTGGCACCTCTTCCTTCAGTGGATCTCTTCGAAGTACTTGTCCAGACTCTCCTTGTAACAGTGTAAACTTCTCGCATACATAATATTTCTTGGTATGGGAATAGCCCTGTTGCATGTTGTATGAAGAACTGTATCCTTTTGTTTGTTCTGAACTCAGCTCCTACTAGTTAGCTTATAGTGGCTGTACTGGAAGAGGCAGTGAATGTTCAACCCCCTTCCTACGCCGTTTAACGATTTTGTAGGTCCCTGTCACACTTTTCACCTTAGTCACGTTTTTCAGTTTGGGCCTCCTCAATAATTCCTCATACAGAAGCAGTACCTTTCTTCAACCTTGCTGCCCTTTTCTGAAATTTTTCCAGTTCTAGCGTATTATTTTCTGAATGAATAGACCAGAAGCGGACACTTTCTTCCTTTGTTGTCTTCCCTCAGGTACTGTAACATTTTCAGCATCTCAGTGGTGCTAAAAATAGTAGCAGAAACACACACTTTCATCTAGTTGGCTTTCCAACTTAAAATTAGTTAACGTAGAAGTATTACTGGATTGAAGTAAGCAGTAATTATAACTCAATGTTATTTATTATGAGTAATTTAACATCAAGATCAGCAGTAGGCCTATCATAACAAACTGTAAGAAGGTATAACAAAAGCCATCCCTTTAAACTTTTAAAACACTTACTGATCACTAGTACAGTTTTCAGTTACAGAAAAATTATTAAGATTTACATTCTCAACTGCCAAGAATGCACTTGCATGCATCCCTTGTTTATATTTATTGTAACCCTTCTAGCCTCCCTTCTTACTACCATCTTTTCTTATCCATTCCTGGTCTCTTGTGTAATACATATCCAAGAATACTTGATCCTTATTCATGTCAAAACAACATTAGCACACGTGAAGTGATACTAGCAAACCGTAACTCTGCTTTCCTCCTCACTCAGCTTGCTGTTTTTCCAACCCTGTACTTAAAAGAATTCTTGTGATCGACACTCAAACATCATGTCTTTTACATTTGTTCAGTAAAGGTTTTCTAATCCTAAAGAATCAGAATAAATTCCTGGCAGGGGTGACTGGCAAGCTTTAATGCTGATTAGCAGGCTGCTATCACTTTCAGACATGGAAGGTGTTGAAAGCATGTTGTCTATGGGACCGGCACTTTTCTTGAACCATAAAGGTCTGAAAAGAAGGCATATCGCTCTATACAGAAGTATCTATTACTCCTCAAAGAAGGTTGTGGTGCTAAAAGAAGCTCCAGTATGCTGTATATTCTGAAAGCCTCAGCCTGAAGTCATTATTTTTTCAGTTAATCTATGATGTCAAATAAAAATGATAGATAACATTTTAATGAAACATCTTGGTACTCAGAAACCTCACTTCCTTTTTATCTTGGTTAGCAGAACACCTGCAGCAGAGACAGTCCTGTATGTACTGGTGGATACCCCTTTCAGGACATAGCGTGGCAAACAGCTTTGAACGGAACGTGCCACTGTCACCTAACTCTTTCCTCTAGCTGCTTATTATAACTCTGGCACCAGACATTTCACTGTGCCAGAGCAGCATTTGTACAGCTACATTACAAACCAGATGAAGGAGTGGGTCCAAGAAAAAATAACTCCACCAGAATTATTTTTTTAATAAATTCAGTTCAGACATCAGCCACCAAACAACTGCATAAACCTTTGTGCTGGCATGGCAAAAGAAAAACCTGTAGCTACAGCCTTAAGAACCCCAAAGAGCACAGAAGAACCCCAAAGAGCATACTTGCCACTTATCATCATTCACACTCAAAAGATAACACTGATGTTAATGAGCTTTTCTTTCAAAGCCTGGACAAGGCAGTCTCCCTGAGGCTGCAACTCAAGAAGTTCGATACTTCTAAGATTCTAAAGGATAAGAAAAAGCATATCTAGTCAGTACATACAACACAACGTGCACACACAAATATGATCAGTTGCAGCAGCATTTGAATTAACTAATGACAGTGAAGTGAAAGATTCCATCCTCCTCTTTGCCCCAAAGCAGGAAAGTCTTCAGAACAACTGGAAGCAACACAATACTACAGTAACAGTTATCACGGTGAGATGCCTGCTTTTAATTAGCAATTTGCTACCTATACTAAAATCCCCAAACCAAACCAATAGCCTCCCCTCTCCCTTTCTGGAATCACAAACATGATCCAGTACGGGATGTGGAAAATTAAGGTTTCCCAACCAGCGTTGGAATGAAAACAGAAACACTGGTCA